TCCATGATGGATACCACAGCTTCATTAAGGAGCCACATGCTCCAGTCTTATTTCACAGCACAAACATCTTCTGCTTGAGCTCTAATTAACTCACATCAGTCTGCAGTTCAAACAGCTGTGGTAAATAAGGTTGTGCTCAAGTTACTAGGCTTCTGCTGGCTACTGAGGCTTCCCCTCTCTTGTTAAATGCTTAATGCTGCCCAGCATTTTTTTCTTATTAAAATACTAGATGAGTAACCATTCAGATGATTTTTAAGTATTTGTGTTACACAGCAAATACTTAAAAATCTCTAATGGCTCACCAAAACCTAACTGCTACTTCCTCATAAGCTCCAAATCCACATTTTACTCCTTCTGTTAATCCTCTCAAAGCAGTCCCCTGGAATAAGTTTGAAGGCATCGAACACGTTATCTTACAATAGGTGACAAGCAGAGAGAAAAATGCTCTGATTTCTAGCTGTAGTCTGAGGTTTGGGTCCTCCTCTTGTGAGGAGAGGAGGATCCAACAGGCAGATTGCTATTGCACAGATGGTCTGAACACAAAGATTGAGAAAGATCCACAAGTTATCCACTTGAAATCACAGTGAGCACAAAGCCCTCATGCTATTTACCCTTACTTAAGTCATTTCATCAGGGTCTCCCACAAGGGATTCTGCCTGATGTTGCTAGCCTTTCCTGGTGTTTCTCAGAGAGATACAAGCAAAGTTCTTCACAAAAGTGCTCCTGCTAAATGTGGGAATAACAAATCCAGAGCAGTCCCTCCTCTGTCCATGCATTCATCCTATGGCACAGAGCAAAGCTTCATTGCTTGTGGTCTCCAGGTTCATGAACATCACTGATGTGGTGCCTGCACCATGCTACACGCTTTTCTCAAAGTTTCCTGTGCCTTCAAGCAATAACAGAGAATTTTGCAAGACCTTTACTGGACAGCCAGTAAAACCAGGAATGTGGACAGAAAGTGATCCAGCTGCTTTCCTTTGTTTCCTAGGCAGGCAGCTTTGTTTCCTTTAATGTTTCCTTTCTTTATTATCCTAAAATCAATGAAAGCAGTTTAGAGAGCTGTAGAAACTATGCATAAAATTTTGCCCATCCCTAGAGATGTTATATTTTAGTTTTAGCAATACTAATTTACCAAATGTAATTCAACAGCTGTCAGGCTTAGTTTCAGTACAACTGGGCAGGGTTTAGAAAACCATGGTTGCAGAGACATTGATCTGCAACTGGATCTTATGTACTAGGCACAGTTACTTACTTAGAGATAATATTTAATTCATCCTGCAAACATGAGATAGGTACTTCTCAAAATTATCTCCAAATTAGCCAATGTATCTTTATGATGGGAAATGTAATTTTCTTTACTATTTATCTCTGCCAAAGGCAATAGAGATGCATGCTCAGGAAGGAGAGCTGTCACTCAGCATTGTATGAGCACAAAAGACAAACCTTGCTCACTATACTTAACAAAAGACAAAGACAAAAGAATGAGGTCAGTATTCAAAGAACACAACTCTAACATAGAAAGCTCATTTATTAGACAAGCAATTATTAGACCAATAAGACAACTTAATGAAGTGCACTGTGTTGTGAGTGCACAATTGGTTTATAAATTATAAGGTCTGTAGTGAGTACAGGTTTTCTTCACCCTTTCCCACCTATTGAGCAATGTTGTACACATCTCCAATACTCTACAAAGGAACAAATAAGGGTGATAAATCCATTAATAAATCTGAGAAGAATTAACTCTATCCCAGCTGAAACCAGGACAATGTCATTTCCTATCCTCATCAGAATAGAGAGAGCAGGGCAAATAGAATTTTCTATTCTGCCTTCCCCCAATACCATTCTCCTGTCATCCACCTGGTTGTCACTCCAATGGGTGCTGTAGCTGTGTCAAGCAGAAAGAAAACATAGAAGACATTATGTTAAGCAACTCTAAAACAGTAAGTCATCTACTTGGATGTTTGATTGTCCAGCTCCTTCTCACTGGAGAAGTGTTTGGAAAAGAGCTGCATTAGATGGGAGTAATTTAGTTTATTAAAGGAAATGAGCATTCAGAATCAGATCAGGAGTGAAATGCCAGCTTTCCTCCCTGATTACTAAAAGTGTTCAGAAAAGCACATATCTACATTAATGCCCACAGATTGTATTTTCCTGTGATTGTGTAATGGTGGTGAGTAATAAGCACTAACCTACATTCTTACAGTGGAATCAATACTGATGTGCAAAATTATCATAACAGCATTGCTACAAATATCTGGAACCTTCACAGCTCCTATGCAAGTTTACACAGTCCAGAGAAACTGTGGGTTATGGCACAGAAGAGGCTAATTTACATCAGGTAGAGTGCACAAGAATAAAAAAGCCTTTTTTCCTAGGAATACTGTCTGCATAAGCTCTACACTTCCATTAATTGCCCCTACAAGTATCTTAAAACACTTAAAATTGAAGTAGGACATGATGTTTTATAAGATCAAGGTGTTTTGTTCAAATGCCTTTTTTTTTTTTTTTAAAAACTCATAGGTCACTTTGAGGAAAAACCAAAAAGGGACTGAATTTTCCCCAACAGAAGTTCTCCAAACATTTTCCTCAGAATGACATTTGGCAACACAAATTCATCCTCCCCTAGAGCTCCCAGCTATCTCATGCTTCAAGGCTTTTTTCCAATGACACTAGATAAGTGACATTTTAGTAAGGTCCAGCTGCCAGCACAGCCATAGGCTGGGCAGGTACTCCATAGCTCCAGGAGCTCTTCCAGTCATCCAACAGTCATTTATAGGATTAAAGTAAAACTTTGGAAGTTATTGGGTTTTCCTTTATTTCCCCCATCATCCCGCAAGACAGGAATTTTAGCAGCACAGGAGATTTTTTTTTTTAAAAACATCAGATTACCCTCCAGTAACTTCTCTACAGACCCAGAAGCCCAAGATCAATGAAACAACAAAACACCCAGGCACAGCCAAACAACAGCTTTAGTAAACAGACTTAAGTAAAACCTCTGAACTACAGAAATATGTCAAAAAGCATACAAGGAATTTTGTTTGTAAACATTTCAATCATACCACAGAAATCTACTCGAGAGTATCTTTATTGGAGTCCAAGTTCAACTAACATATGAGCTTAGTTCTGCACATTACTTTCCACAAGCCTGACACAGCCCATTAACCATCTAATACATTAGAAACAGTTTTCTTTTATCCAGCAAAAGCCACAATACATTTTTCTAGAAAGAAGTTTGTTCTGTACTCACTTTTAAACATACCAAAAGATTGAAAGAGCTCTGAGCAAAGTGGCAATTTTAGTACAGCCACTCAACACTACTACAACTAAAATTAAAAGGCCTTGACCGAAATTTTCGGTGCACTCACATGAAAGCAGCAACTTATGTTACTTTCAGTCTATGTTACTACCATTAATTTCATATCACTTCTTGTTGCTGGTCACAATTTCTACTTAGTAGCAAGGCCACAGTGTTAGTACAAGAAAAATGAGGCCCTGGGAGGCACAGCAAGTCCTCAGTAATGATCTTCTGGTGAGACACACCTGCCTTGAGTTTTGTATCAATATGCTCCTCACAAAGGTAATTCCAGAGCTTGTTTTTTCTGCGAATTGTACAAGCTGTTTGCTGTCAGAACTGTCCCTTAATAAAATACAGGAAATATTCTAATGGTCAGACCAAATCTCTGGTATCTGCATAAGCCTCAGAAGCGACCACTCACTAACACCTTCATCCCAATCTCCAAGTCAGATGTGCAAAGACATTTGAATCTTTTCAGTGGCATACTTGCCACAGAAGTAAGCACTTGCAGGCATATGAAGTTTTGAACTGCCTCTGCATCTCACGTGGCAACAGCACCAAGTATTAAAAATCACATTCATAGACCATGAGTGAAATATATGATCAAATGCCCAGAAAAATTCACTTGCAGTAGTCAGTCATTCTGACTCACAGTGTCAGCTCTTTCAATTCCATTTACCTTGGCTTATAAACCAAAATTGCTTAACCAAAATTACTGCATTTAGAAGCTGACATTCTGATTAGGCCATGTGCTAGAAGCAAAAAATTAAATCCACCTTGGAATCAATGACTCTTCTCAATGTCCTTGCCACCATCGCTTGAATTCCAAAAGTATTTTGCTTCTAAGAGTACAGGTAAGTATTGTTAAGGATTTTCACAGGAAAATTTGTATTCTTCATCTGTGCAGTACAAAATGTCACCTTTTAGATATTTTAGTCTTCCTAGAAAGTGGTTTGAATCATTATTGCAAAAAAAATTGTGCCTTATTCTCAAGTCTGATAAGTAAGTGATGTGTAAAGTGTAAGTAGAGACGCAATGTTGGCAAACAAGACAGTCTATTAATTTTCACCTTTCTTTTTCACACACTAAATGATGCTGCCACTTCAGGGAGGAAACACTGAGCAGATTTATTACTAGGCAGGAACTTTTTAACATAAGAGTTCACTTCAAATAGAGACTAGCACAAGTGTGGTTGCTGCTTTCAGCTGAAGGAGTGCTAGAGTATTTCCTAGCTGTTTCCACTAGATATAGAGGAAATCAACATTAAGCTATGAGCATGCAAACTGCTGATAAAGTGGATTAACTTGTAAAAGACTCATTTCTGCCAAATCCTGTTGCTTGTCACTCCTCATGTGTCTGTAAGCCTAGTCTCACCTTCAGAACTAACACTTCAGGTTTTTCCTCCCTGCAGCAAAGAGGAAGAGGACAAAAGTTTTGGCCTTATGTTATTCACTTCTTGCATCTATTACTGTGCCAACTACAGATTTATTCCTTGTCTTTTTACTGCAGTCTCAAAGCACACCACAGCTACTGAGAATACACCATTTTACCAAAACAACCACAGAACTGACTACATGGTTATAAATTGCAGGAACTAGAAACTGAATCCAGATGTCCTAGATTTTGCTTCTAATAATACCTCTGTTTTCCTTTACATCTGAGGGGGGTTTTTTTCTCATCATGACTAGTACTGCAGTCTTACCACCTTCCTCTTTGAAGCTCCCATATGTGAGAGAAGAGGTTCCAGGATCAGGCATATCCTTTAACAGTCCAGGGGTACTGCAAATATTCTTTCCAGAAACCTCAGGGCACAGGTTAGAGGCTAGAGTCAAGAAAAGCAATAGAGTTGAGGCAAGATAAACATTTTGGCATAAAGTCTCAACAGCTCAGCATCTTAAAGCTGCTGTACCTCACATCAACCAAGAAATTCAGCATGGGCTGACAGCTTCAAGTAACAGGATGAAACACTAAATACTTCATCTGCTTCCCTAAAAAGCTGCAGTAGGACTTTAAGTTGAAATTCTCCAGCTCCAAAAATATCCTTCAAGGCCCACACATCACATGCCTTCTGGGGACTACTGCTAGAATTAAGAACTTGAGCTCATGGTCAAAGGCACAAAATGTTCCAGACCTAGAGAAGGTGAAGAAAGTTCATAAGGGCTGAGCATATTCCACTTCAGAGCTCCAATATCAGCATGGAAAGTGAAGTCAGTGATCCTGATGCCACCTGCTCTTGTCACTTTTGAGACCTTTGATGCTCTGCAAATTAACCAGTTTTGTTCAAAAAACCTGACTTTTTTCTGCTGCTACAAGCTCATAATGCCTAAAAGGAATGTTCCCCCAAAACACTTCTGATGGCACAGACATTTCACAATTGTTTCCAGTTTGGGGGTAAAACTGATTGAAGAGATCCATTGCCATTTTCTTCCTGCAAAATCTGATGGGAAATTACTAATTCAGTGTTGCTCTGCTTCTGTTCCAGATAACATTCATGTGCCCCATATTTGGCACATCAAATAGTTATGTCTTCTGTAGCTGTGAACATTTGAACTGAGCGTGGATATGTGTGGCCAAAGTGAGGGGAAAAAAACCCCAAGGCTGCCAATCTTTAGCTCATTATTATTAGAACACTATGAAAATGAGTAGTGGAAGTCCCACAAGAGAGATGAGGCTTCTAAATTAGGGTACACTGATGCAGGGAACCCAAGGCTAACTCCAGCTGACCTGGAGCCAGAATGGGAAGCAGCAGCTCTGCAGCCTGTCACCAGCACATGGACATCCTCTCACCACTGCTAAAGAAGCAATTTGGCAGGCTACCTTCACCATGCATTTGTTATCATCTGCCACCTGCAGGTCATCCCTCCCTTCCATTTACGATGCTCTGATGCTCACTAGAAGTTTTCCTGGTCCTGAACAATACAGCTGCTGCCAGGGGTTTGAGCTAAATTAGCTCTCTTTGCTCTATTCAGCCCTCACTGAGAGTCCTGCCAGCTGTGGAGATGGTAGTTGCTCCAAGACCATTGGTAGGGATGAGTTAAGTTTGAATCATTGAGGAAAAAATCTCCCTTGCATGCAGCAGAATAACGAAGTTGCACAGTTTTGAGTAGTTAACCATCATTTATTCTGTTTTTAATATCACAACTCATATCTCCTCTCCTAATACACTCACAATTAATTTGGCCTCCACTGAAACACAATTCTCTTAAGGGTCCTCATTCCATCTCCTGACTTTCTTAGAATTAATCTTTATAAGAAAAGCATGAGCCCTTCTGACAAAAATTTTCCAAAGGGTGGTGATTTTGATTGCCAAGCTCCAGCTATCTCAAATTATTGATGTGTACATCACATGCTAAATATTGAAAATACCTCCTCCCAAATCCTCTCTAGTAAGCTTTCTACTGTCAATAAAATGAGAGTAGTGGGGCCCATGAGTCAAAACTGCATAGTAAAAAGATTCAGAAAGAAAGCTAGATCAAAACAAAGCTTACCATCCATAAAAACCTTTTAGGAAATGAATGAGCAGTCAACTAAACTGTGCTAGAACAAAATTCCAACAGTAAATACAGAAGCTATATGACAGAGAGGTGTCAGCTGCAGGAAAATAGCCTTGATAGGTTATTCCATTTTTGCTTTTATCACAGTCATCTTCAGGAGGGCTGGCAGCTCTACAGTTCATCCACTTGCACAGTGCTTCAAACTTTTACCCACCTCAAAGATTCTAGGGGAAGGTTGGGCACCTTTTAAAGCCTTGACTTCAGGCAGCTTCCAACTAGACTGGAAACTTTTTAATATAGTCAGTATTCTTTTGTAATCAACATTGATCATTGTAATCAATACATGGATACATAGAAGCCTTTTGAGTATGGGAAGTTCATAGGAGCCACTTCAGCAGACAGAGAAAAGAAGGTTCTTTAACCAAGGTTAAAGAACACCACCCTGCTTCACAGCCCCATCACAGCTCTCAAATTTGTTTCTTCCACCCATCCCTCCAGCAGTTCCTTAAGTCTTATAGGATACTTTATCTCCCCTGGTGAGTACTATTGATTTGCACTGGGGTGAAGATCATTTTAAACCCTCACAAACAAATCTTTAAAGAGCCTTGAAGACAGACTCACCTTTTCTTTAGCATCTCTCTGGAGCCTCATGTATTTTAAATCCTGAAGGCACAACTCCCACCCCTGGAAAAGGGGGCAACATGACAGTATGAACAGGCGCTGAAATCCTGATTTCCTCTTACTGTCCACTTTTACCTTATAATGAAGTCATACAAGAAACAAACTACTTAACTTGGGTCCAAGGACTTTCCCTAACAGTAGATTAAAGGTTTAGATCAAAGTTAGATTCATGGTTTTCCATAAACAGCAAGATTCTAGGAAGCAATTTGTGGTAATGACAAGCCTTTGGAAAGCCAGGGATTTAAAATCATAAGATGAGATTTTGTTCAGTGAGAACATTGTCACTGTTCTCTGAGGAATAATTCCATTTCTAGGTCACCTGTGAGAAGCAGCTGGTGAACATCAGAAAAAAAAGTTCCCTCAAAGCACTTTTGGGGTTCTCTTTATCCATTGGTTCTGAGAGAGTGGTCACAATCATCTTCCTGACGTGTTCTTATAGCACAGTGGCTTCGACAATTGTGGCTTCCCAGGCACATTTCAAAGATCACAAAGATGACAAAACTAGAACACCCCTGTGTCTACAACAGAGACTCTCAATTATCTGTAAACATTCATGGCACAATTCTGGTAATTAGTTTGAAAAACTGGTGACAACATAGCAGTAGATGTTCCAGGAAGAGATGTAGGGAGCCAGAAGCGCCAGATGGATTATTTTCTAGAAGTTATTTATTCAGCATACCATCACAGAAAATGCAGATAGAATGTAACACAATAGGACAGTGCAACAATTATTCTAAATCTCTGTGTAGTTTAGAAGAAATTACTTCCCTTTTGTAGCTCTACTGAGCCATCAGCATGCTTCTATAAGTGAAATATGGTAAAATTTACTTGCTACTTCTGTAGCAAATTCTATCAGACAGCTCTTTTCAGAACAAAGTAGAAAAAAGTTTCAGAACTTTAAGGCTTATTCAGTTCTCAGAATTTTCTTTAAGGGGTTAGAAAGAAAGATACATTATATTCTCATTCTGTGTTCAGATTTAAAAAAGAAAATAAAAAACCCCTGACCTTTACCTACTAAGCAAATGAGATGAGAAAGAGGTTTTACAGCCACATGATACATCCAAATCTTCTAGTGAAAACTACATCAAATTCATCATTTCCCAAAATGAATGGATATTTTTAATCCAGTGTAGTGCCTTGTGCCTCCAGACAGAACTCCTGGAGCAAATTTTCCACTTCAAAAGAGAGAAAAGCAGTACTAGACACCAGTGCGTTTGAAGCATCATAGTCCTAATATAAAGGAAACTCTTTTTATAAGGGAGGTAGATCAAAAGAATTTGGTCATGTAAGTAATTCATTTGGTCATTCATACACTGAGCACATACAGAAGGTCAGTATAAGCAAGTGAAGTCCTATCCTGCAGTTTGAGTGGTCTAACACTGCACATGGTCAGTAAGAGTCTCTGGAGTTGTGCTCCAGTCATTGCAAATGCAGTGCTGTGTGTTATGTAAATGGCCAGTGTGCAGTGGTACCCTCAGCTTCATCAACTGTCCAAGGAGACAGCTAAACCAGGTGTAGGGACACGACACCACTGTTGTAGTTATGTCACTCACTTTGTTAACATCGGTCCTCCTTGAAATAGCTTTGAGATTCTATAGGCTATGTCCAGCCTGCAAAATCTGAAATTATGTTGGTATTAAAATTCAGGCCAATCACCAGTTTCCAGGAGCATGGCAATGCAGGGTGGTGACATTCAAGGTACCAAATACTTGCAAAAGAAAATAATGCAAAATCATGATTGATTTTAAGCAACAACTAGCATTATTCCTCCCTCCCCCAAGGTGCTACAATACATTTTTAAGGGCCTAGGAACAAAACAAAGTTTTTGAAAAAAGCAAAGTGGAAGCTTCAAGTACTTTATGGTGGATTAGGTGATATACCTTGGGATAACAGTAAAAGATTACATCAATGATTCCTTTTAGTGTGGTTTAAATCTAGGTCAATCTCCTGCCTTGATTTATCTTTAGACAAAAGAATAAAATTTCCTTATTTGTGCTGAACAGATCCCTGCTTACTAATTTCAGAAGGAATTCCACCACAACAGAACTGAATCCCAGACTGCTGCCACTGGAAGCCCACATAACCCAGCTCCGTGCATGCTGACTCTTACAGCAGCAAGAGCTGCTACAGAGCCCTTTAGGATTCAGCTCCTCTTCCTATGTTAATTTGATAGTTATCTAAATTAAATAACTAATCCAGATTCTTTCCGTAATCTATGGAAATATAAAACACATCTTGAGAGAAATTTTTTCCGCTCCAAGTCTGTCTGGAGGTCAATGGTCTCCATTGACTACAGAGAGAGCTTGGGCACTATGTCCAAATAAAGTAGGCCTCAACATTTGAAGGTTCTTGATGTTTCATTAGTCATGTAATTACGTTAAAACTAGTTTTATCATCCAGTGTGAAAGTAGGTTTTTTTGGCATACAAAGGCAATGTGTATAAGAACAATTTAATTCATACAGCTGTTAGTTGGTACATTAACAATAAATATCCAAAGAGGGGGAAAAAAAATCTCCCAACTCTAAAAAAGGTAAAATGTTATTATACTTTAAAAATCATATATTTCATGTCTCTGAAGGTTGACATTAGATTGCTTCCCTACAGTTTTCCTATTTGCATCCTGCTAATGAGAAATTGTATGCCATTTCTTTTGTTGGGCTTCTAATGAACCCGATTTGTTTCAGTCTGCAGCCTCAATACAATTTTATCCCAAACACTGAATGTCAAGTGCCACTCCCATCCCTCACCTGTGTTCCTAAAAACCTAGTCAACTCATCCTCTGGGAGAAAGGAAAATGCTAACAACCAAAATTACAAATACTTCA